AAACAATTTCTATACAACGAAAGGAGACTGCGACCACACAAAAGGCCACACCATCTTGGTCTTATACTTTCGATTAATTTACAGAATTCATAGTTGGATTGATCTTTCAACGGGTTCATATTCCTCATGCCGGCAGCATCTGCTTGCGCACCTCTCGCCACATTCCCACTACATTTCCACCACATTCCTACTTCACACTTGTCTCATTTCCTTTGCTGCCCAGCCCCATTCCCACCACATTCCTGACTCATTCCCTCCTCATTACTGCCACATTCCCACCACATCTTGGCCACACTTTCACCACATTTCTACCACAGTCCCATCACATTCCAGTCACAGCCCAGCCCCATTTCCACCACATTCCTACCACATTCCTGACTCATTCCCTCTTCATTACCGCCACATTCCCACCACATCTTGGCCACGCTTTCACCACATTTCTACCACAGTCCCATCACATTCCAGTCACAGCCCAACCCCATTTCCACCCCAAACCTGTATCATTCCCCCCTCATTTCCGCCATATTCCCACTACAGCCGAGCCACACTTTCCCCAGATTCCTACTCCCAGCCACATTGCAGCCGCATTTCTCCCACATTACGGCACAGGTCGTTTAGTGGGAAACACCCACTGCTGCGAATGGCAGATTCTCTCGGTCCACCAGGTCAGGAACGTTAGGATGCCGCGTTAGGCGTGCCGCCAATCAGGGCCAGTGTAGCCTCAGAGAAGACTTGGCTAGAGCAGCTCAGCCGGAGGCTGCACTGGCTCGGAGCAGCGTATAAACACTCAAGTGTCCGAGCGGTGCTCCGATTGGTTGGGAATATTCGAGATAAAAATATTCCATTGCTTGGTCAGGCACGCGAGACTGGTGTAGCGGTTAAAACGTACCGAAAGCGCACAACTTCGTGCCTCAGCTGCCATGTGTGTGTGTGTGTGTGTCCAGGTGCGTAGATGTGTGTTTCTGTTTGTGAATGCGTGTGCTTTTACGGTGCCTTTGCGTCTGAGTCAGTATTGTGGCACGAAGATAGAGGAGAGCGTAAGGCGTTGATCGATAACTTGCTCGGCTTAGTTCAGTGGGCAAGTCGTGTCTGACGCATAGGCTGTGCGAGGGCGCAGTTTCGCGGGCAGAATGTCTTGAAACTGGGTCAGCCTACGAAAGGCCTTGGCGTCACAGGATTGGTCACAAGAAAGGTGGCTTGAGCTATCGACAGCTTCAGCAACGCCGAGCCACAGTCAGCTGGACCTGTGACGCCAGTTTGGCTGCGGCGCCATTGCAGGCTGGGCTGGACGATGCTGTTCAAGTCAGTTCTGCTCGCGCCAACCGGTCGTTCGTGGCGGCGACCGGCCCGTCTTTTGCGTTGGCTGTCTTCGTGTCTTGTGCGAGCAGTTTGCAGCCAACCAAATCATGGAATGCCTCAAGGTGAGGTGCCATAATTAAGTAGAATCTCGGCAGGCCACCTTTGTTAGTTGAGCGCTTTTCGGTGATTGTCCGTTAAGGATTTATGATGGAGGAAAGCTGAATACGGAGTGATCGGGCTCGCAGGATGATGAGCCGAAGCCTTCTTGGCACAATTCAACAGTCACTATTACAAGGCGACCCTCCTTCGGTGTCCGATGAGGCCAATTCACGAATCCTCTCCACGCTTATTCTCAGACGAAATGAAAGGTAGGCCTCTACTGAGGGACTCTTCGAAACCCAGTTTCTCTTTATACTGCATGCGATCTCCTTTCCAGCCAAGTGACCATCGTTTTAGGCTGATTGAACTGTTGCTTGTCTGGCATCGTTCTGGGATGTGCCGAAAATCCTCGTTCCGAGGCCTCCCCCAATAGGTTGCTACCGGAAACGCGGATAACCCAGGGCGGAAGGGGAGATAACATAACTGCTTAGCATACGTTTGGTCA